CAGCTCCCATCAGCCAAGAGCGCTGTGCCTCCCTCCAGTTTCTAGGCTCTGGCTGAAGCTCAAAGGCATGCCCTGGCCTCTGCGGGTCAGAGGGTAGGCGCTGCACCCCTCTGTTGGACCCTTATCACCGGCACTGGGCCAGGTACACAGTAGGCACTCATAGTTGCTGTCAGATAAATGCACGCTGCACCAAAGTGCAGGCAGACTACACGACAGTTGTGACTCGAAGAGAATATTCCAGAGGGTCTGACACACTTGGCTTAGCAAGACACACAGAAGGACCAACGTTCCCTGGGTCCACGCGGCACCGAGAGCAAAGGGAACGTCGCCGGAGACCCTCGAAGACACTGTCTAGACCACAGGATGGGACTGAGGCCTGAAGCTCGGTCTCACGGCTCATGATCTGTGTCTAACAGTCACCCTGACCCATGTGACAGCCTGTCTTTTCCAAATGAGTCACCAAGCAGTTAAAAATGCCTTGCTGATTTTTACCACAAAAATTCACTCTCTGACACTGATTTAATTTCATGACCCTCTAGGGGAAAGAATGTTATCACTCAAAGAAGTTCTCAGGCATCTGTACTTCTAGTAAATATGTGATGAGATGTCACTAAACAACTTCATTGAGTCATTCAGATAAGTTACTTGTCGCTCTGGAAGCAATGGAACAATGTCCTTCACTGAAGCTGTACCTTCAGATACGAATCACTCACCGGTTTAGAATAAGCCGGGAAAACTCCACATAAAGCTGGAGCCACCGGTTCGAGACTCTCACGGGGCAAAGGCGGTGTTTCTCCCAACACAAACCACCCTTCACGACTATTTTTTACCGCACGCAGATAAAGAAGTCCACATGTGCTCTCATTACTGACGAGGCCATAAAGCTAAATGCCAGTCAGTAGACTCTGGTTTAAAATATTAACAAGCAGGGGCGCTTGGGGGGGCTCAGTCGGTTAAGCGTCTGCCTTTGGCTCAGGTCGTGATCCCGGGGTCCCGCTCAGCCGGGAGTCTGCTTCTCCCTCTCCTTCTATGCTCGCGCTCTCTCTCTCCCCCGACCACCATCTCAAATAAATAAAATCTAAAAAACTAAAAAACTAAAATAAAACATTCACAAACAAACCAAATGCTGTTGCTTTAAAATTCACGTAACACAATAAAATAGGCAGAACACCTGAGAAGCTTGAGTCTAAGACAGGCGACCCCTCGAACTCCTCACAAGACTGAAACCCCCGCAAGCCTGGGAGGACCCCACAGGAGGGAGAGACGCTGCTGTGGCTGGGTGCACTGGGTTCGCGGTCTCCAGGCGTGCATGACATTCCCAGCGACTCCTGATCAGGGTCCACCTGCCAGGCTGCAGACTCAAGTTTTCCCCCAGGCTCAGGCTGGTCGGGCGGGGAGCAGGGGCAGGCCAGGTGCCACCCACCCACGCAGGTATGGAACCAGGGTGAGACCGAGGTCACCAGTCCCATGCTGCTTCTGGGGGGGCATGGTGGGGGCAGGGAGCACCACAGCTCCGCCCCTTTATGGTGAGAGCCAGGGGACCGACATGGGGGCAGCAGAGTCAGGACCCCAGATCTAGGGGGCGGGAAGGCAGAGCCTGGCAGAAAGGACCGGTGGGCTGTCAGCGGCCCCTGGCCACTCTGATTTCAAATCCAGGCAGGGACGGTCACTTCGACCTGGTTACGGCTTCTGGTGGGGGGGCGGGGGGGAGAGCCAGGATGCTACTCTCCATTCTCCAGGGGCTCAGGCCACCATAACGCAGCACCACCCGAGGAAGGCTCACAGAGCAGGTACTCCTCACAGCTCTGGAGGCCGCGAGCCCGAGATCAGGGTTTCCCCTCTACCACCTCATCTACCCCCTCCCCGCGGGGGTGGGGCTGCCACGTGAACTCTCGGGGGGCACACACAGCCCACAACATCACTCCCGCTGTGCAGACTCGGGTCGGCTCAGGCAAGGACGGGCCATGGTGGGGTTGGCGCAAGAGGACTTCCACAGCCTGACCAGGTGCATCTGCACCCCACGGATGCCCTGGTGGGAGGATGTGGGGCAGCCACGGAGGGTCCCCCATCCTTCCCGGTGGCCGGCCTGCAGCTCACACGTCCACAGAGGAGCCGTGCCGGACAGGCAACAGAACGACAGCCCCACGAGCCTGCGAGCTCAGCAGTGCACCTGCCGCCCTCCGCAGGCTGTCCCGTCACATGGGTGTCCTCTGGGGGGGCGGGGGGGCACCGTGCTGAGCAGGATGCCCGTGCACCCCGCTGTATCACGGCGGCGGCTCCCCAGAGCTGGGGTGTGCGGACACCACGGCGAGTAGCCAGAGAGGGCCACTGCAGGAGGTCACCCAGGGAGCTGGAAGGAAGGCTGCTGGCCTGTCCACGAGGGGGGGTCCGGGAAGAACCCGGTGGGGCACGCAGTGTCTCAGGCGGAATGGGGTCCCTGTGCATGGCTGCTCAAGCCTCCCTCTGCTCCTGCCTCCCCTTCGGACTCGCAGACAGGAAGAGGCTTCTTCTGACGGCCTCGCTGTCCGGAGCGAACGGCCTTCCCAAGAGGTAAGAGGCTTTCTTCTTTTCCCAGCTGACCGCGTGCTGTCCAGTGAACAAGGTGGCATGAGGGGCCCACACGGAGCATGCTTTACCACCTCGGGAGAACCTGCCTGGACGCGGGCCCAGCTGCCCCCTCGGACTTGACGTGAAGGGAGAAAGCAGAGTGGGCAAACGGGGCGAAGGGGCCCAAACTCCGGTGGCCATCGGCAGCCACGCCATCACAGGCTGGGGGAACGGCCCCCCACAGCGGCAGCAATGACCCACGGCTCCCGAGATCAGAGGTCAGAGCCTGGCATAGATGACCAGCGACCTCAGAGGGTGGACTCTCCACCAGGACAGCCCGTGGGCTGAGGGGGGGAAAACGGGGCAACGGGAAGGCAGACACCAGGGCCAACGCTCTGTTCCCAAGAAAAACAGCACGCAAAATTCCTGAGTTTCCGGATTCTGCTTACAGACTTGGACAGTCCGTGGGGGTGGAGGCCCGCTTTCCAGCCAAGTGTGGCGAGAGCCAGATAAAATTTTCCTGGTCTTATTTTAGGGTGGGTGAGGTTGTAAACAGGCTCGGTGACCAATCCACAGACAGCCTGTCTAGACCCTTATTTGAAGCAGAAGGTCACCAGGGAGGCAGACATCCCAGATGTCCTGGAGGCGTGTGACAAAGAACTGTAGCCCAGCCAGCACTGGCTCCCGGACAGGGACACTTACCTCACCTTCTAAGTGCTGATGGTGGGACCAGGCCGCCCGCCCCGGAGGCATGAGGTCAGAAAGGGAGCAGCCCTGCTCAGGGGCCGGCAGGACGAGAGGACATGCCGCCCTCCTCAAGCGTGGACGGGCATGGCATGGGGTCGGGGGTTTGTAGAGGAAAGGGAACGGTGGGTGTCGCCACAGGTGGGGACAGCAAAGTGCAGACGGAATAAAAGAGAGAGGTTCCAGTAGAAAAGGCAAAGTTCTGAAATACACCTACAGACAATAAAGACCATCAAGATCCCAGGAAACACTAGTTTAATGGCTAAAACCAGAGGCTCTGGATCCTACTGTCAGGTACAACAGGCCTGCTGCTCGCTCTGGGGTCCCGTCCCCCCCCCATGCTCACTCTGGGGTCCCGTCCCCCCCATGCTCACTCTGGGGTCCCATCCCATACTCACTCTGGGGTCCCGTCCCCCCATGCTCACTCTGGAGTCCCGTCCCCCCCCATGCTCACTCTGGGGTCCCATCCCCCCCATGCTCACTCTGGGGTCCCATCCCCCCCATGCTCGCTCTGGGGTCCCGTCCCCCCCCATGCTCACTCTGGGGTCCCGTCCCCCCCCGTGCTCACTCTGGGGACCCATCCCCCCCCGTGCTCACTCTGGGGTCCCATCCCCCCCTATGCTCGCTCTGGGGTCCCGTCCCCCCCATGCTCACTCTGGGGTCCCGTCCCCCCCCATGCTCACTCTGGGGTCCCGTCCCCCCATGCTCACTCTGGGGTCCCGTCCCCCCCATGCTCACTCTGGGGTCCCGTCCCCCCCCATGCTCACTCTGGGGTCCCGTCCCCCCCATGCTCACTCTGGGGTCCCGCCCAACCCCACCCCTTACAGCTGGGCTTCAGTTTCCCAACTGGGAAATGGAGATAAAATTTGTATCTAACCCTTAGGGGTGTTTTGAGGAATAAATGAACAAGTAAATACATAAAACATGGAAACTTCGTAGAACGGTGCCTGGCCTCTAGAGATCATTCCGTGAACGTCAGAAGATGTTCCTGTCATCATTACTATATTTATGCCACCAGTGGGCACACCACGGCGTGACTGAGTCTCCCTCCCCAGCCTGCAACCCGCTGTGGCCCAGGCCAAGCCAACCTGGAGGGACAGCCGCCAGCCTGTTTCTCTGACAAGCTGATTAATGACGATTTGACCTTGGGTTAAGTTACCGATGCTCTCCGCGTCCCAGTTTCCTCCCGGAGGACAATGGCTCTTTGATACCCAGGGCACAGTCTTACTTTCAAGGTAGAAACTCTTAGTTTAAAAAGGTGGCTGTCGTCTTCTGGGTCAAGTTTTTCTGCCTTGCACAGATCCTATTCCAGACCAAGACTATCTTAGGGAAACTCTTCAACTGTGCGGAAGTTCGGGTGCCTGAGAAACACCTCATTTACCCAGAGATCCCGGCCAGGGAAGACCATGTGGTGGGGGGGAGTTTTGTCAGAGGACTAACATTCATCTTTCAGGACCAGATTGTTACCTTTTACCATTTTTATGAGAGTCTTCCTAAAACACATAGATACATCCCTGACTTAACAAATGGAATTCTGGCCAATAAATCAAAAAGTTTCATAAAGTCAAAGGACAGTAGCAAGAGGAAAAGAAGGAAGACAAAAGATCCCATACACTTCCCCTCCCTTCTTCCCAAAGGAATGAGCCAGCGCATCCATCCTGATCCCACAGCCAGGCGGCCTGGCGCTCGAACCAGGGGCGCGTGCTCACCTGCTTCGCAGCTGCCTGGCTTGGAGGTAAGGAGCCCCGCGTCAGCACCGGCGGGCTCCCGGGGCCGCAGAGCTCAGGGAAGGGGTTGGGGATGGCCGGCAGAGACGAGGTTCTGAGCTGCTGGTCTTCTTCCTGCAGGCGTCTGGGAAGAGAGACACAACCGCTCGTTAATAGTTTGCTGTCACCGCCCCCCGATGCGATCCAGCAATCCCACGTCTGGAGATGTGCCCCAAAAAACTAAAGAGGGCCTCCAAATAGATAACCTGGATCCCGGGGTCACAGCAGGCTGCATGGTCCAACCCAAGCGTGCATGGATGCATGAACAGACACACAAACGTGGTCCATCCACACAAGGGGACACGACTCAGCCGCCCGAGGAAGGGAACTCTGACACACACTGCAGCTGGGATGAACCCTGAGGACACGGTGCTGGGTGACAGATCTTGTGAGATTCCACCTCTCTGAGGCACCTGGGGTCGCCGAGCTCCTAGCTAGGACAATGGTCACTGCCGGGGACTGGGGCGAGGGGAGTGGGGAGCTTCTGGGTCATGGGCAGAGTTTTTCTGCAAGCTGAGCCAGTCCTAGAGATACATACACAACACCGTTAAGTATACGCAACACTGGGCACTGGTTCACTTCGACACAGTGGAGATGGTCAATTTTATGTCATGTGTATGATACAGGGACGAAAAGTCTTGTTGTTTTTTTTTTTTTTTTTTTTTTTAAAGCTGCCATTCTCAGACTCCAAAGGGTCCAGATTCCCTCACTCATTAAACATCCGGGGGCGAGAAGCACCGTGAGCACGCTTACATGGCAAACGATGCCCCGCGCAGGGCCCATACCCAGTGCTCTCTCCAAACACAGATGTGTGAAGAGGTTTTGTAAGAGCGTTTTCAGGAGAATCACCATCCCCAGTGCCCTTGATGTGATCACTTCTCCAAACACATAAAAGCAGAAGAGGCTTCTTCGTGTGTCCTCATCTGCATCGTGGAACGAATGCTTCTTTCTACAACAAGGTGGTTGATCGCTGAGTGCGCTGGAGCTAAGTGCTCCGTGTCCTACCTCCCCAGAGCACAAATCCCGTGTCCGCGTGTCCTCAGAAACACCCCGCAGCACCCCACTTCACAGCGCCAAGGGCCACCGCAGAGCCTGCACCACGCTGCCCACTTCTGGGGCATTTCCTGCCAAGAATGCAAAGTCCACTTGTCCTACAACTAAGCCAAACACACCCAGTGAGATGAATCAGATGCAATAACAAAAACAGCAGAAGAATCAAGTTCAAAGTCAAAGCAGAGACAACTGCAAAGCGCCCCTCTGCTTCTAGTCCCCAGGGTTCTGCTGGTGGCCTCCTCTCTCCACTGCTAGGCTCTCCTGGGGGCGGCGGGCACTGCTGCCCAGTGTCTGGACGCCCACCCACAGGAAGGGAGCACAGCCTGAGCGACCGCTCAGTATTCCTGGTGTCTGCGGACACTACGCCTCAGAAAGCCCTTGCATTGACTGGACCTTCCAAGAATTTCTGAACTCCTTTGACAATCCAACTAAATTAATGATCAGTTGCTTTCTTGGGAGTTTTGCCACTAGAGAAATGTTCCGTGACCACTTTACAGGTTCTCTGTTTACCGACTGATCCTGATGCCGGAGGGGCCTGTCCGGCCCTCTCCCTGGGGACCAGGATGCACCCATGAATGGCGCGCCCGCTCCCACGGCAGGAAGGAGGTCCGTGTTGGGGTGCGGGATGGCTCTTCTCTAGCGGCTCAAAAAACATACCAGGATGTGGATGTGCGTGGTTAAGAAACGCCACTCTTCCTGTACCAGCCTCTGTCGTGGCCAAGTGTCCGGCCGACAGGCGGTCCCTTGTCCCAGACAGCCAGAGAAGGGGAGATGTGGCCAGGCCCACTGGGACTATATTCCAGCCCCAAGACGCCCCCTAGCCAGTGACCAAGCTGAAGCACTGAGTTTTATGATCTGCAAGATGCCAACATTCTGATGCCCTAGATGTTAGCAGAAGCTTCTCTTAACGGGCTGTTGTGAAAAATGTTAAAAACCATGTTGTTTAGGGCAGTGAGACCATCCTGTATGACAGTATCAGCATGGATTCGTGTCATTACGCGTTTGTCCACACCCACAGGACATACGACACTGACTGGGCCCTGGGCACGGACACGGCCTTGCGGGCTTGTCAAACGTTGTACCAAACGTACCACCTGCTGGGGGACGTGGACAGTGCAGGAGGCCGTGTCTGTGCGCACGGGGAGTACGGGAAATATTCTAAATTTCTCTCAGGCGTGCTACGAACCTAAAACTCATCTTTCAAAAATAAGTCCTTATTAAAAAAAAAAAAAAAAACAAAAACCCAGACGTTATGCTCGGTGAACTAGGATTCCCTTCTGCTGGAAACGGCCAGAACAGGTAAATCTGCAGCAACAGAAAAGCAGGTGGGTGGTTGCCGGGGCCGTGCGAAGGGGCAGCGCGGACACACTGAGGAATGGGGAGGGGCTTTCCTCTGGAGGGGTGGGAACCTTCTGGAACCAGGTAGAGGTGGCGGGAACACAACCCCGAAAGAGTACTAAAAATGCCTCAATTGTACACTGTAAGTGGTTAATTATATGTTACGTGAGTTTCAAGTCAGTAAATTATTCTCAAAAAAGAGTCCTGCGTCGGCTTTATAGCAGTTCACAAGTACCGTCCGAGGCAAAACTAAGGGACATTACACGGAGCTGGAGACAGTCCCCGTTCCGGAGGCTGCGTCCCTCCACTGTTACAAACCGAGACGTGGAAAGGGGGCGAAGGTGCAGGAACATCGGGGGTCGGGGATGGGGAGGAGAATGGCAGGCCCAGCGTGCTCTGCCGTCTGCCCGGCTGGAACACACCCGCTGCCCTCCGCTGCCCCTGCAGTCCACTCCTTCAGGATCAGGATCGGACCCAATGGTAGCCTCTTCCAGGAAGCCCTCCCTGCCTTCCCCAGCTTCTACTCTGCACCTGTCTCCGTCGATGCTCCACACCCCACTCCGTGGGTCTCCCCACAGCACCGGGCCCAGTTGGTCTTGAGCTCCTCGGGGCATCTCAGGCTGGGTTTGCATCCCGACTACCCACTCACCAGGCGTGGGCCAGTCCCTACCCCCAGGGCCTCAGTTTTGTCACCTGGGCACCGGGGGCCACCACACCACCCACCTCGAGGGCCATGGTGGCCATCGTCCCAGCTAACAAATGAGGATTCAACAGAGACTACACAGAGGAAGTGCTCAGCACGCACGGGAAGTGCTCAACATAAGGCCTCCCTTACAAAATAAATCTTTGTGTGCCCCGTATCGGTCACCCCATTTTTTAACTGCACTTGAAGGTAGGAAACAATGCTACTCCCGCGAGAGAAGTGAGGAGAGGTGAGGCCTGAGGCCCAGCGTCCACTCTGCATCAGGGAGAGCGTCTGGTGCATGCCCGCCCCATGCACCCCCATGGAACCCCCACGGCCGAGGGCTGAATCTGGCCCGAACCTGAGGCTCAAGGGCTCCGGGCCACTCACCGGTCCGGGCCTTCTTGTCCATCCTCTGCCCTGACTCAGCTCTGGGCACGGTCGCTGTGCGGGCTGTGTCCCCATCTTCCCAGGGGCCCCCACGCAAGGCTTCCCTGGACACGTGACTGACAGACCCCAGGCCCAGAGAAGCGCCCGGGAGAAAAAAGCGTCTCCTTCCAGACTGAGCTCCACAGGGGCCAAGAACACAGGGGTGATGCTCCAGAAAGCAGAGTGGGGGGAAAACACCAGGAGGGGGGAGGTAGGGAAAGGTCAGGAGCCCAGAGGCAGGCGACCACCCCTGCAGACGGCTCTGTGCTTATTCTGCCGCCCAGGACAGAGCCGGCTACCTTGGGCAAGAGGGTTACCTGCCTGCAGAACACTGGGGATGTCAGACCAGAAAGAGCCTTATAGAAGTCTCTGGAAGCAAAAAGGACTCCCCCCACCCCGACTCCAAGGAAAGGAAGCGAGATTCCCCAGAAGATGCAGTGCTAAGGAAGGAACAGCCAGGGGCACCCCAGCCTGACAGAGGCCCAAGAAGGAGGGCACCACCAGCCTCACACTAGAAAGCCCAGGAAGGCAGGGAGGCAGGAAGGCCTCTGTCCCTCACCCCCTCCCACCCCTCCATCCTCATCTGAAAACCTCCAGGGCTCACAGGGACCAGGCAGCGGCCATGGAGAGCTTCTCAGCTCGATTTCACAAACCTCTCCCCCCAGGAGGCCCACGATGCCTTCAGCACCCCTGTCTGCCCATCTCCCAGGCACTCGAGACACACTCAACACTCAGTCCCTCCCCCTCCAAAATTCAGGTGCTCACAACTCCCGTCCGTCCCCCTCTTTATCAGGGTCAGGACACCACCATCTCTAGGCTGAAACAGCCTCCAGGTCGGCCGTGCCCTATCCCGCCACCTCCCCGGACACCAGGCTGCCAGAATGATCTGCCAAAACCTAAACCCAATCTCCTCGCTCGCCTCTTCAGATCCTTCCCCGTCTCTCCCCCAGAATGGCTCACAAAGGCCTTCGGGATGTGGCCCTGACCTGTCGGGGTCATCTTTTGTTCACACCCTTCCGCTGAGGTGTGATCAACATGTAATGTCTACGACGGTGACGTTAGCACAAGCAGGACCCATCGCCAGTCTCGCTTGCCAGACACACCCACGACCTGCCAACGCCCTGTCCCCGCTCTCTATTGTGATCCTTGAGGCTCCTCCCTCTCAGCAAGGTTCTCGGTCTACACAGTACTGGGACTTGAGGGCTCTGTGCTGCAGGAGATCCCTAGGACTTGCTCACCTTGTAGAACCAACACTCGGGACGCGCTGTCCCCTATTTCCCGGCCCCCTCCCCTCGGCCCCTGGCCTCCACCACTCCCACTCTCTGCTTCTCAGAGTCTGACACCTTAGATGCGCCCCCGACACGCAATCACGTGCCATCTGTCCTTCTGTGGCAGGCTTGGTTACTTAGCATGCTGTCCGTGTCGCCCATCAGCGGATGAATGGATCAACGCAGTATGCACAATGGAGTATCGTTCCGCCATAAAGAGGGAGGAAATCTGGCCACTTTCGACAACAGGGATCTCTTCTCCCCCCAGCTCCAACTCACCCCTCGACACCCAAATCAGAGATGTGCCACCTGCAAGGACCCCCCCCCCCCAGCTTCCAGAAGCCCCTCCCGCCAGCCCCGGAATTTCCAGTGAATCCCCCGGGGGATGCCCCTCGTTACGTCCAGCACATTCTCTCACGAGGACTTCCCTCCCCTGGCACCGAGCAGGCGCTCCATGGAGGTCGTCAGAGCTGACCCGGACACCACGTCCAAGCCCGTGGGGCCGAGCTGGACCGAGCAGAGGGTACTGCTGTGCCTCCACCCTCAGACTCGAGCCCCTTCAGGCCGGGGGTCCCACCTGACGGCGAGGATGTGCACAGGCTGGGAACGCTGCGCCTGCAGGGACCTTGTTCCCGAGGCTGGCGGCTGGCCGCGGGCGTGCTGGCCGTTCTGCAGCAGGGGCACCGTCTCCGACTGCATGCTACGGGCCGGGTACAAACTCTCCAGCGACGCGTTCACGTCGTTCACCAGGGCCTCCAGGTCTACGTCATCCTCTGGGCGTGGCGGCAACAGCGGGAAAACAGAACAGAGCAGAACTTTAGCAGCAGCGGGCGGGGGGGGGACAAGCACACGGGCATCTTGGGGATCAGGTCCCCGAACCCACAACAGGTCACACGACCCGGTGAAGGCAGGGGAGCGTGACTGAGAGTATACATCCCATAAGGAACCGTACGCGGTATGTGTATCAGCATCGCGCCGGCCTCAGCTGGCCCCTGCCTAGCTCCCGGACCCCTCGGCGCGGGTGGGCCCCCCAGCGCGATGCCCCCGCCGCGCCGGCCTCAGCTGGCCCCTGTCTAGCTCCCGGACCCCTCGGCGCGGGTGGGCCCCCCAGCGCGATGCCCCCGCCGCGCCGGCCTCAGCTGGCCCCTGCCTAGCTCCCGGACCCCTCGGCGCGGGTGGGCCCCCCAGCGCGATGCCCCCGCCGCGCCGGCCTCAGCTGGCCCCTGCCTAGCTCCCGGACCCCTCGGCGCGGGTGGGCCCCCCAGCGCGATGCCCCCGCCGCGCCGGCCTCAGCTGGCCCCTGCCTAGCTCCCGGACCCCTCGGCGCGGGTGGGCCCCCCAGCGCGATGCCCCCGCCGCGCCGGCCTCAGCTGGCCCCTGCCTAGCTCCCGGACCCCTCGGCGCGGGTGGGCCCCCCAGCGCGATGCCCCCGCCGCGCCGGCCTCAGCTGGCCCCTGCCTAGCTCCCGGACCCCTCGGCGCGGGTGGGCCCCCCAGCGCGATGCCCCCCGCCGCGCCGGCCTCAGCTGGCCCCTGCCTAGCTCCCGGACCCCTCGGCGCGGGTGGGCCCCCCAGCGCGATGCCCCCGCCGCGCCGGCCTCAGCTGGCCCCTGCCTAGCTCCCGGACCCCTCGGCGCGGGTGGGCCCCCCAGCGCGATGCCCCCGCCGCGCCGGCCTCAGCTGGCCAGACCACAACAGGTGGACATCAAGCCCTAACTCGATGCAGCGGGACTTCTCCCTTCCCAGAAACTCCAGAAGCGAAAGAGGGACACAGGAACAGAGCGGCACCTGACACGGACAGAGGCCTCGGCCTGCTCAGGGCTCCAGGAGGGCCAAGCCGCGCGGACGGGCTCACAGGCGGAGGCTGATGGAATGTGCACCTGCTGACCTCCAGGCGCCCTCCTCTGCCTTCGACTGGCCTGAGAGCAGGGCAGGCCTGGTCGCAGAAAAGGTCCTGACAGACGCAGAGACGGAAGCACAGCCAACGTCAGGGGCAAGGACAGAAAACAAAGGAGGTGTGTCCTAGAGACTCTGATGGGAACTTTGACGTTATCAGCTTGGCCAGGATGCAGGTGTTTGCTCAAACAGGATGCCAGATGTTTTTGTGAAGGGTTTTTTTTTTTTAAGATTTTGAGAAAGAGACAGTGAGCACACAGTGGGGAGGGGTAGGGAGAGTATTAAGCAGACCCTGCTGAGCACAGAGCTGGATGTGGGGCTTGCTCTCGAGGCCCTGAGATCATGAGCTGAGCGGAAACCGAAGTCAGATGCTTACCTGCCTGTATGTACCACCCAGGCTCCCCTCTGTGACGTATTCTTTAGACGAGAGTAACATTTAAATCAGTAGACTCTGAGTAAGACAGACTGCCCTCCATAATGTGGGTGGGCCTCATCCGATCAGTTGAAGGCATTTAAGAAAAAAAAAGGCTACAGTCCCCAAGGAGGGAACAATTCCACCTCCAGACCTGAACTGCAACTCCTCCCTGGGTCCCCAGCCTGCTGGCTCCCCTGCAGATGTTGGACTTGCATCTGCACAGTCATGTGAGCAAGTTCCTTAAAACGCCCCCCCCCAGCCCCGTATACCCACAAACGCACATCCCGTTGGTTCAGTTTCTCTGGAGAATCCTGACTATACACCGTGGAGGGTACAAGCCAGCACACTCGGAGATGTGGGAGCGGCTGGGGCCCGGGGCAGAGACAGAGCCTGGGGCTCCGAGCAGCCCGGCGGGGCTCGGCTCGCAAGCCCCCTAGGGCCAGGCCGTGGTCTGGCCGGGAGCTCCGTAAAGCACAGTCCCTACAATCGCGTGCTGAAGCTACTCTGAGTTAGTTTCTCTTATTTGTAACCCACTGCAACCCAACAGCACTGTCCCCTCTGTGCATTTTCAGCTCTGTCACTTTTCACAACATGGCAACCGTGAACGAGACCCGCCCTACCGGAGCGCTTTGCAAGTCAAGTCACCCACAGGCCCACCTGCTCCTGTACGGGACACCCACTCAGCACGACGGGCTCGGGGCCCGAGACAGCTCGACCCTCGCCAAGCCAGGGCCCCAAGCCCCTACCGGCAAGAAGGCAGAGCAGAGCAGTCACCCGCCAAGAGCCCTGCTCTTGCTATGGGCTCCACACCCAGGACACGAGGCTCCGCTTTCTACTTCTCGGCCCACAACCCCGACACAGGGTCCGCAATGGAGCTGCCCGCAGCGGGGTGACAGGAGGAGGCTGGTCATCACCCCGCTCTGTAACAGAGCCTGGCATATGGTAAGCACGGGGTAGATGTTACTCAGTACACCCCCTGCACTGATACCTACAACAGAATATAAACCGGGGACCACTAACTGGCTTAACAGCTGAGGAACAGACCTGCGGGGGTCCAGCACCTTGCCCACGATACACACAAGCGCGAAACAGCGAACCTCGAATCTGAAAACAATCTGCAGCCACCAGTTTGACCTCACCAGGTGTGTGCTCAATGCACGAGCTCACAGACATTTTCGGAACTTGCTCTCCCTGCCTCTCCCACTCTCCACACACACGGCCTGGATGCCTTTGCTTCGGCTTCCCCGCCTCATGAGGCAAAAGGGCCCAAGAAGACAGAGCAAAGCAAAACAGCGACAAAAACCTGCCTGAGGAAGGATGCCTGGCATGGATGCCAAAGGGGCGGAGGGTCTGGGGGTGCAGGTGGCCCCACGGCTACAGCCAGGGAGGGCGTGCGGTCGGCTGGGGGTGGGGTGGGGGTGGAGAACAGCTGTGGGAAGGTTGAGGCAGGAGCAGAAAAGCCATGGACCCCCGGCTTCTTGACCCTCCAGGCAACGATGCCAGGGCGGGTCTGAGAGAGGCCTGGACACGGGACGTTATACCCAGTGGGCTTCAGATGGATCCCACTGGGTCCTGCAGACAGATGGACCAACAAGAGAGGAGCCGATGCTTCTGAAATGGCAGGCACCAAGACCAGTGAGGGTTGTCTAAGTGGAGTACACGGGGGCGGGAGGCGTGGACATGGACCCACCTCCCGACTTGAAACCTGTGAGCAGGGCCCCGCATGTCTCCGGGCCTGTGTGGGAGGAGGAAAGATGTTGCCTAGATTGGGTTATAAAGAGTCAAAGATTAATCCCGTGGCCAGACAGTAAAAGGATCAAAGTGCTGAATTAATAATTCATAATTACCATGTGATCAATAACTAATCTATCACAAAGGACAACACCAGAGTCAGCAGGCAGAAGTCTTGCTCAGAGTTCAGGGGCAGGGAGGTGAGTGGGCCGAGTGGGGCTCACAGAAAATCCGGACCCCCGGAGGGAGAGGTACACACACACCGCTGTCCTCTTGTTTCCTGTCCCCATCTGCAAACTGAGGAAGCAACACTCAGCAGGGACACTCACAAGTCTGGGGCTTCAGGAAAGTTCTAGAATGTGTCCTACACTCCTATTTAGCTGCCCATAACAGTTGCCTGATTTGAGCTCTGTAAGACAATTAAGTCTATGTTGCCCTCACTCATCCCGTGAACAACCCAGTATTTCTCCCAATGGACCATTTAAGTCAGTATGGGGTGAAGGCCAGAACTCACGGCAGTTCCCGAGTCAGCCTCGGGTCCATGCCAGCTGGGGCGAGATGCCATGGGCAGGCTGGCCGAGGGGCACCACAGCCCAGTGGGGTTTCACCCAGCTGCCGCTCACACGTCCTCAAAACCAGGAGAAAACCCAGCAGAAGACACTGGCCACCCCCTGACAAACAGGCTCACTCTCGGACAGATTTCTTCTCAGACCATGCCATGTGTGGGCCCTCCAGGTGGGTTTTCACTGGAGCTTTATCTTTTCCCTACAGAATCCCCTGGTGGTGTCCACAGATGCGGCCTGTGGTGTCTTCCGTCCTGCCCTTCCTCTCCTTCTTGGGGCCGGCCAGGTCACTCCCACCTGGGTCACCCTGTCTGCAGTCAGGCCACTGTGCTTTCGGGAATGGGAAGTAACTCTGACATTACTGAGAGTCCGTATTGAGAGTCTGACGGTGAAGTATAAAGACCCCAGATGATAAATGCAATGTGCGTCCTCAACATGCTTTCACCCCCTTCTGAAAGGAATGAATCAGTCAGGATTTTCCTTAAACTCTGTTAAACTCTAGTAAGGACTAATAATGGGATCTTCCAAGCAGGGGTCTTAAAGGACTGATTCCAAGGAAGACATTTATCCATCACGGTCTTTTTTTTTTAAGATTTTATTTATTTGTCAGAAAGAGAGAGCACAAGTAGGGGGAGCAGGAGGCAGAGGGAGAAGCAGACTCCCCGCGGAGCAGGGAGCCCGATGTGGGGCTCGATCCCGGGACCCTGGGATCATGACCTGAGCCGAAGTGAGATGCTTAATCTACTAAGCCACCCACGCGTCCCTCTCCATCACATTCTTTTAAAATGTACTACACTGGGGTGCCTGGGTGGCTCAGTCAGTTAAGCGTCCTACTCTTGATTTCGGCTCAGGTCATGATCTCGGGGTCCTGAGATGGAGCCCCGCATCAGGCTCCTGGCTCAGCGGGAGTCTGCTTCTCCCCTCTCTCTGCCTCTCTCTCAAATAAATACATGAAATCTTAAAAAAAAAAAAAAAATAGTACTGCACTATGATATTACGGAAGTCACCAAGACATTACTGAGGTGACTGTCAGTTCTTGCAGAAATGCTTGGAATGGCTCGCATCCTGTGCATCCCGCCGGGTGCGGACAGCTCCGCGCCTCCCCTGCGTGGATCGCCACCCACCCGTGAGAGCCCTTCTGCGGAGAAGCAAACACAGCGGGCGCGAAC